ACGAAAATAAGGAAAAACAAATTTTGAAAAATTTTCGTGGGGCACGACCACACCCTGAGTATATGATTTGCCGGGTAATCATTCATATTGTACGATTAGTCTACAGACTTGAGATCCTTTGCATGGTACATACCAATATATTTACCGGAAGTAGTCTCAAGCTCATAATAAGATGTTCCGACCCTTTTTCTAACTTTGCATTTAACATAAGGTGGCAACAATTTCGCATTAATACCCTTTTTCATATCAGACTGTTGAAAGCTTTTACGCAAAACTACTTGTCCAGGCTTATACGAAATATCTCTAGATCTTAAGTTGTATCTTCTAGTAGCTTTCTCATGAGCTATGAGTAAATTTTCTTTTACTTTCTCGTGAAGATTAGACATTCTGCAGTCATTTGGTATGAAATTGCACTGTGGATCATCTAAGCTATTCAGTTTTTTTAAAACCTCATAGGCAGATCCGTGAGTTACCATATTGTAGCCAAAGACACAAAAATACGGGGAACACTTGATTGCATCATGGTAATCACTTCTCAATATATTAGCTATTTTCGAAACATACATATCCCATCTATCTTGCTTTTCCTTTATTAATACACGAAGTTTTATGAGAAATTCACGATTTGTCCTTTCGGAAACATTTGCCTGTGGGGAGTATAAGGCTGTTTTAATGTGTGTTATACCAAAAGCTTTTAAAAATTCGGACATTTGTAATGAAACAAATTGTTTGCCATTATCCGAGTGAATGAATTGAGGTACACCAAATTGGTGGAATATTGTTTCCTCTAAAAATTTTATAATGGCTGAACTCGTAGCCTTTTTAAGCGGTTTTAAAAATATGTATTTTGTGAAATGGTCGATTGCAACGAACACAGTTGAATTGCCCATTTTAGTACGTGGATATGGTCCCAACAAATCCATATATATTCTTTGAAAAGGACGTTCAGTTACGATTTGTTGGCCCATAGGAGGTCTTCGAATCTGATTTGATGGTTTCATAAGTTTACATACTTCGCAGTTGGAAACAAATCTTTTTATGTCACAAGACATTTTTGGCCAGAAGTATTTTTCCCTGACTCTGTTTAAGGTTTTCGCGAAACCGCCATGACAAGACAATGAAATATGGTTTAACTCAATAACCTGCTCGCAAAGCTCTTTAGGTAACCACAATCTCCACAATGACATTTCCTCGACAAATTCACCCTTACGAAACTTAACCCTTTGGTATATAAAACCTTCAGATATAACAGTATCTGGAAAACTTTCGGGACTTTCTGATATTTGTGCAATTAACTTTTTATAATCGTCCGACTTAAAAAATGGAGAACTAAGGTCAATTTCAGTTGGAAACGAAGGAAAGGAAATCTCATCAACGTCTAATCTAGACAGGGTATCTGGTACAACGTTTGCTGACCCTTTTCTATACTCAACTTCAAAATCAAAGCTTTGAAGCTTTAAACTCCAACGGCCAAGTCTACCAGATAAGTCTTTCTGAGACATCAACCAGCGGAGACTGGAATGATCGGTCACTATTTTAAACGGAAATAAGGAAAAACAAATTTTGAAAAATTTTCGTGGGGCACGACCACACCCTGAGTATATGATTTGCCGGGTAATCATTCATATTGTACGATTAGTCTACAGACTTGAGATCCTTTGCATGGTACATACCAATATATTTACCGGAAGTAGTCTCAAGCTCATAATAAGATGTTCCGACCCTTTTTCTAACTTTGCATTTAACATAAGGTGGCAACAATTTCGCATTAATACCCTTTTTCATATCAGACTGTTGAAAGCTTTTACGCAAAACTACTTGTCCAGGCTTATACGAAATATCTCTAGATCTTAAGTTGTATCTTCTAGTAGCTTTCTCATGAGCTATGAGTAAATTTTCTTTTACTTTCTCGTGAAGATTAGACATTCTGCAGTCATTTGGTATGAAATTGCACTGTGGATCATCTAAGCTATTCAGTTTTTTTAAAACCTCATAGGCAGATCCGTGAGTTACCATATTGTAGCCAAAGACACAAAAATACGGGGAACACTTGATTGCATCATGGTAATCACTTCTCAATATATTAGCTATTTTCGAAACATACATATCCCATCTATCTTGCTTTTCCTTTATTAATACACGAAGTTTTATGAGAAATTCACGATTTGTCCTTTCGGAAACATTTGCCTGTGGGGAGTATAAGGCTGTTTTAATGTGTGTTATACCAAAAGCTTTTAAAAATTCGGACATTTGTAATGAAACAAATTGTTTGCCATTATCCGAGTGAATGAATTGAGGTACACCAAATTGGTGGAATATTGTTTCCTCTAAAAATTTTATAATGGCTGAACTCGTAGCCTTTTTAAGCGGTTTTAAAAATATGTATTTTGTGAAATGGTCGATTGCAACGAACACAGTTGAATTGCCCATTTTAGTACGTGGATATGGTCCCAACAAATCCATATATATTCTTTGAAAAGGACGTTCAGTTACGATTTGTTGGCCCATAGGAGGTCTTCGAATCTGATTTGATGGTTTCATAAGTTTACATACTTCGCAGTTGGAAACAAATCTTTTTATGTCACAAGACATTTTTGGCCAGAAGTATTTTTCCCTGACTCTGTTTAAGGTTTTCGCGAAACCGCCATGACAAGACAATGAAATATGGTTTAACTCAATAACCTGCTCGCAAAGCTCTTTAGGTAACCACAATCTCCACAATGACATTTCCTCGACAAATTCACCCTTACGAAACTTAACCCTTTGGTATATAAAACCTTCAGATATAACAGTATCTGGAAAACTTTCGGGACTTTCTGATATTTGTGCAATTAACTTTTTATAATCGTCCGACTTAAAAAATGGAGAACTAAGGTCAATTTCAGTTGGAAACGAAGGAAAGGAAATCTCATCAACGTCTAATCTAGACAGGGTATCTGGTACAACGTTTGCTGACCCTTTTCTATACTCAACTTCAAAATCAAAGCTTTGAAGCTTTAAACTCCAACGGCCAAGTCTACCAGATAAGTCTTTCTGAGACATCAACCAGCGGAGACTGGAATGATCGGTCACTATTTTAAACGGGAGGCCTTCCACATAGGGACGAAATCTTTTAAGGCATACAATCGCCGCGAGGCACTCAAGTTCCGTAACAGTGTAATTTTTCTGGTTTTTGTTCAATTTCTGTGATACGTACGCAACCGGATGTTCTCTGCCTTCGTCATCTGTCTGTGTGAGTACACCACCCACACCTACACGAGACGCATCACATTGAATACAAAATGGTCGACCGAAATTAGGCTGTACAAGCACTGGCGCGGATGTTAATGCTTCCTTCAACTTGTTAAACGAAATTTCCGCTTCCGGTGTTATTCGAAACTCTTTTCCCTTTTTTAAACAGTCTGTAAGTGGTGCTGCCAAGTCGGCAAAGTTGGGGATGTACTGTCTATACCACCCCGTCATGCCTATGTACCTACGGATCTGTCTCTGGCTTTTTGGTAATGGAAAATCCAATATTGCTGCTACCTTCGTTTTGTCAGTTCGTAAACACCCTTGCCCTACTATGTACCCGAGGTATTTTATCTCTTTTTGGCAGAAACGACTTTTCTCAACATTTATTGTTAAATTTGCACTTTTTAAACACTTTGCCACCTCACGCAGTATATCAATGTGTGTTTTGAAATCTTTTGTACAAACTAACAAATCGTCAAGATATATGAAGACGTTCTCACGGAGTCGACTAGGTATAGTCTTGTCCATCAAACGACTCATTCTTTGTGCGGCGTTACACAGCCCGAAAGGCATAACTGTAAAGTGATACAGTGGCCGACCAGGTACTGCGAATGCCGTTTTTTCTTTAGAACACTCATCTAAAGGTATTTGCCAAAAGGCGTCTTTTAGGTCAATACCTGTAATAAAGTGAGTATCCTGTAAACGACTCAAAAGCCCATTGATATCCGGCAAAGGATACGCGTCTTTTTTCGTTAAAGTGTTTAATTTACGAGAATCGAGGCAAAGTCGAATCTTGCCCGGTTTTCTAACCAATACAATGGGGCTACAGTATGGACTGTTGCTTTCCTCTATAACTCCCAATTGTAACATTCGGTCCAACTCGGTATACGCCTCTGCCTGTCTTGGTGGTGATAAGGGATAATGTTTAATCTTGAAAGGTAACGAATCGCCAGTATCAATTGAGTGAGTTTCTAATGAAGTGCGGCCTAAGCCAAGTTTACTAAATTAAGGAAATTCCTCCACTACTTGCTTAAGTTCATATAGATCTAAGTCTGAAAGGTTATGAACATTGGTTTTAACGTCTGCACAAAAGGCTTCACTGTGTAACGAAATTTCAGAAAGAAATAATTGAGGTGCTATACTAAAACATTTCCAAAAGTTTATTCCTAAGTAGAGAGATTGTTTCAGATTAGGACATAAATAAAAAAGTACATTTTTCGTAACACTGTTGTAAGTCGTTGGAATATCTACAAAGCCAATAACACTCTGTTTTCCACCGTCAGCAGTTTTCAGTGAAGTAAATGTTCGTGTGTAGTCTAATTGGATACTGTCTAAAAGATTCAAACAACCTTTTCCCAAAACACTGATCGAGGCACCGGAATCTAGTAAACCATACAGTTCTACAGAATGTAAACAAACTTTTGCGTATGGCCTCGTATCGATCACTTCATCTATAACAGTAGACTCGACTATTCTTGCAAACTTTTTCCTTTTTCTATATCTTTCTCTACATTTCATAACTTTCTTTGGTATTAAATTTTCATTAAAAATGCGTTCTCTTGCCTGCTCATACTTAAGTTTTCTCTGATGAAAAGTTCCATTTGGCTCAAAATTATTCAAAATTATATTGTCATGTTCATTTTCATCACTTTGTCTAGACAAAATTGTTATTATTTTATTATCTTTAGCCGTTTCATTTCCTGTGTCGTCATCTGTTTTATCCGAATCTAAATCTGAGGGATTTTTATGAGAGAACGAGGGACCCTCTTCTACTCGTTCAAATTCCTGTTTTTCGAGTGCTTTTTGCACTGTGGAGTGGTGATATTTTTCTCGCCACACCTAAAGCAAAATAGCGTTCGTTTTTCGGACGGACAATCGTAGAATGAGTGACCAATTTGGTCACAATTCCAACATTTGTAATGACGTGTGTCTAATTCTTTTCGCTCCCTATTGCCCTGATACCTAAATGCTGCTAGTTCCTCTTCCTCTTCTTCTAATTCATCTACGCTTTCTCTCACTTCTAATTCTGATACATGCTTTTTCTGAAATCTAATGAACTGCTGTCTTATAACATACTTCTCGGCCTTTCTTGCACAGTCTCTCAAATGGTCTAAGCTGAATAATTCTGAGGTAAACAACAGAGAACCTAAAGATTCCTTAAGATTGTTTTTAATCAAATCTATCATTTTGCTCTCATTCATTGGCTGGGAAAGACGATTATTTAATGCTACCATTTCTGAGAAGTAGTCGTCAAAAGATTCTTTCGGCATTTGTCGACGTTCAATCATTCTGACGATTTTGTCGCAGTCATTTTCTATCTTTCCGAACTGTTTTGTTAAAGCAAATTTAATTTCTTCATATTTTGAATTAGGGTGTTGCTTTAAAAAGGACCAGAACCATGTGTCTGCTTTGCCCCTTAGAAGAGTGTGAAAATTGGAACTTATATACTTGTCCGAGCAATTAAATCTATTCTTAAGTGTGTCAATTTTGAAGAGAAAATCATTAACATCGTCTGAACCATCATACATGATGTTCCATTTGTCTAATCGAACATAATCATTAGAGGATGTACTTCTGCCTGAATCGGAAGTTAAACTTTGGTTATGAAAAGAGTTATTATTATTATTATTTCCACTGTTAGTGTTGATGCCTGAATTGTTGTGGTTTACTGGTGGTGGATTGTAAGTATTTGTTTGACGGTTAAAACCTTCGACTAGAGACTGTCTTAAGTTCGAAATTTCACCCATAAAGGCATTATGGTTTAACGTGAGGACGCGTTCTAGTCTTGAAGTTAAAACACTTAAATCATTTACATTACCACCAGTTGGAGCCTGTTGGGAACCACTTGGCAAACTATTACCCTCGTTTTCGTTACCCATATCTACAGCAGATTCTGCCGGTTGCAAAGAAGGTGGTAAGTTATCTCTAACCTGCGATACTATAGGACTTTTTACAATCTTAGGTCTTGACACAAATGGACTATCGGAGTTTTCAGTAGAGAAATTAAGTTGTCGTGCTTTAGATCTTGTTAGTATTGGGCTTTCGCTTATTCTAGGTCTAGGAATGAATGGATTTTCGGAATTTTCATCAAACGTATAATCAATTTGGCTGTCACTAGTAGTTTCTTCACTGTCCTTTGACTTTCCTCTTCTTTTTGACATTACTCATAAAAATTATAAAAACTATTCTTGCTAAAAAACGTATTTCAAAAATCTTTGGGAATGCTGAATAAAAGTTTTAAATACGGATGAAATTATACAAATATTTTACAAAATATCCCCCTCCAATTATCTGGTATACTACTTGATTAAATTATTGTGTCGCAAATGAGATTTTCTATTTTAATAAAATAATCCATGACTTACACAATAATATCAATCAGACTATTGAAATTAAATGAATCATAGTAAAAATCATATCAGTCAAAATTAGCAAAACAATATTCGATTTCAACCAAATATTGAAAGACTTACTTTTAAAAAACTGATAAATAAGAGTGTAATTAAAATGACTTATCATAGCAATACTGGTAAGGATACCACATATGACTTGTGTATAAGTAAAGAAAACAAATGGAATAGTAAATTGCAAATCGAAACTGAAATCAAAATCAATCAGTTGAGACACATTTACTTATAAATTGAAAATAAAATCGAAATCGACATTTGAGCCGAACTCGTTGGGCGCCATCTATTTATGTAGCGAATGTTTTGTGTTTTGAAATATATTTTAGTTTTTGTGACAAAGGTGATCGATGCTTGGAAAGCTGGATTAGGCTTAGCTCGCCGGATTGGGGAGGATTCTTGATCACACTTTACCTTTACACACTACACAAACAAAAGAAGAAATAAATCTTTCCAAGACTTTACTAAACAAAATGAAATCTAAATTTAACAAGACAAACCTGGCTATTGAATAAAAACTATAATGGATATTTGATAAAACTTGTATAGAAAAGTGATAGATGTTGTTATCACATTGAACACTATTAAATAATTATCCCACCCTCATGCTTCTAAGATACACCAGTGTTCTAGATAAAATGTTAAGTATCTACCCTAAAATCGCGTAAAGCTATAATCTACTACATCATCCGTATTACAACGTTAGTTCTCAGCATTCCCAATTAAATTATTCTCACTCAAAACATTTCATATTTACAATTCAAATTTGTTTATTATTATCAGAAATATTCATCTAACAGCGTTATCAGACTTAAAACTATTCTATATCTTATATATATTTCAAAATTTTAAAATTCAAAATGTTCTTTTTAAGTATATACCTAAAAATGTTAAATATATAATTTTATGTAAAAATTCCAAAATTCAAATATAAATTTAAACGAGCGCATGTTATTTACTTTTGTATATTATAACTTACGATTTTTTTTTTAAAGATTGATTAATGATGATGTTGTGAGAATGTTACCATTTGATACCCTTTTCCTGTTACTCGGCTGATAGTTTGAGCTCAAAATATCCAGTGTAACTACTGTAACTTAGAAAAATTAGCATTAGCGAATATTAATCAAATCAGGAGATATAATATACAAAATTGAATATAACACGCAAAAACTTATAAATTAATAATTAAATTAACATTATAGTTATGTGTAATTCAAAAAAAATTAAAATTGTTAACAGAAAATTATTTCATTAATACATTTAACACTGTCAATTTGAATCTGTTAACAATTCTTTTACAGAATTAAACAAATGTTAAATGTATGGATAAAATATTGATCTTTACAAATGTAAAAATAAACAAAAGGTTTTAAATCAAAGCTTTCAGAGAAACTCTGATATCTAAAGTTTTATGTTAGCTTACTTACATGTAACTTACATTTTAAGCTTACTTGTACAGTATAATCTTACATTAATGACGTCATGCAAAAACTTTGGGAGATTTGTTGTCTTCTTTTTGGTACTTATTCCTTCATTAAATAAAATGATACAGTTGTGGGTAACTATTTAGCACATTCAAAATTATGGAAAGCAGTAGATAACTATTGTTTTGTATGATTATTGTAATGGATTATTTCGAAGATTAGGATATTTAATATTGAAAATTATGGTTGGAAAATTGTTGTGTAATAATTTTATGTTATGTAGGTTATGGTGAATGAATACTGGTCTTCTGTGGTGTTTGAGGTTAGGTGTTGAATCAAATGATATACAGATTTGGTGCAAAATAGTGAATGAGAAATGTTGAATGATTTATTTTATTGGCTTTAAATTATTTCACATTGATGTTGGATGAGTAGACAAGAATTGAGAGATAATCATATCAATATTGGACTTTGGACCTTGGCGATCATTCAAGTAACGTGTTGGATTGATGATAATTTTTAGATATATTTTCCACAATTTTTGCTCGCAATATAAAATATAAAGATTTCGCTTTACTTGGATTGACTGGCAACTATGTCATATTAAAACTTTTCCATAAAAGTATTATTATATTAAAACCCTATAATTATTTCTGATATTATTTGAAAGAATTATATATTATTTTTTTTTACAATATCTTACCAAATTAAATTGGGTTTTAGGCAAAACATTTTTAAACCGATAATTTAGTTTAAATTCAATTATATCAAAAAATTTAAATCGTTTTATCAATTATAATTTGTCCAACGTGGATTCAATTTATGGTTTAAGAAATTATTTTCCGTAAAACAACTTATCTCTTTGGAATTTTTAGAAAAAAGGAAGAGCGGAAGATTGAGATTAAGCTTTTAATCTCGCTTAAGCTTAGAGATCAGAGAACATTATATATATTCAATTACTCGATAATCATATTGGTTATCGATATATATAAACAATGTAGCCAAGTTAGCGATTATTTATAAGACATAATAAAATATTTATGTTTTGTTATGCTATTCAATTGATCGTTAATGTACTATGAGGTAACATTATTTATGATCCACATATGTATATTAGCATAATTTAGTTATATTTATGTTACTCTCAATAAAAATAATAATGTTTATATTAACATAAAATATTTTGCATATGTAAATAATGTTTAAATTTCTAATTAGTTTTGATTTATTATGAAATGTTCTGAGTGTTTTTAATTCTTATATAATTTGCTACTAAAATTTTTCTTAAATAATAAAATAAATTCCAAATTGTTTTGTCTAAAAAAAAATTTTCAACATTTTCTCTAACTACAATCAAAATTATCATTTAAAGCAAAATTTGTCACAAATGAAATAATAAGGAAAATCTGGTATTTTGTCTACAATTGACATATGACCTAAGTCGAAATACTCTTTCATAAAATCATGATACATTTGCTTGATTTCATTATTTTTAGAAAGTTTTCGTTCTAATGAAAGAAATCTTCTTTTAGCGGTTTCGAAAGATGAACCTAGCAATTTTGTATCAGATTTGAAAGGCAATGAGACTTCAAATCGTCCTGACGATAAACGTCGTACTGAATTTCTAAAGATTTCCTCGCATTCCTGCTGCTCTTCAGAATATATTTTTGTCGATTCTTTCGGAATTTCTTCTAATTCCCAGAATTTTTTAACGATAGAATCTATATTGCTCTCGTTTTCAATAGAAGAATTTATATGAAAAACTTTATTATTGGCGTTAGATCCCTTTGATTGATTATACTTTCCAGTAACAATCCAACCAAGAGAAGTCTTCTGTAAAATTGGAAGACTAGGACCAGATTTAATTTGTCCGACACAAATTAAGTCAAAGAATATCTCTGCGCCAATTAATAAGTCAATCCTTTGGGGTTTGTGAAAGCAAGGATCAGCTAATTCTATATTTTTAGGAATTTCTAAGCTAGTTGTACTAATTGAATGATCAGGCTGTAAATTAGTTATAGAACTCAATACCCAAAACTTTGAAGTAAATTGAGTAGAGTTAACCCTCGACGTGACAGTTAAATTAACACAAGATTTTGAATATGAATTTGTTTCGCAAATGCCATTCAACTTCAATCTACCTCCTTCTCTTTTTAATCGTAGTAGCTGTGCAAGTTCCTCAGTTATCAAGTTTGGTTGAGAACCGGAATCTAAAAGAGCTCTGGCTAATATAAAATTGCCAGAACAATTTCTAACTTTTACTACAGCTGTCGCTAGAATAATTCTATCATCAGAAGATGAGTAATTTACTGACGCGTTAGAAGTTGACTGCTGTTCAAAGTTGCTATTAGACGCACTGCAAATTCTACACTTAGGTGCTGAACATCTAGCTACTGTATGTCCTTTTTTCAAACAATTGATGCAAGCTGGCACAGATTTTATAAAATCAAATCTTTGAAGTACAGGCTCAGCTGCAAATGAAGGGCAATTAACAACTATATGCTGATTTGATTTGCAAAATAAGCATTTGTCAGTAGATTGTCTTGATTTCGTACAATTTAGTGATGTTTTATTATTTTTCTTTGTAGAATTGTCAGTTTTGTTCTTATTAAACCTCGGCCTTGAACTTGAAGATTCATCAGCAGCAATATGCTGATACCGTTTGTTCAAGGCGGCTTCACAGTCTGACCATAGTGGCAGCTTTTCGAAATCTAGCTGTTCTTCCCACTTAGATTTGGTCACTGGATCTACTTTTGACATCACTAAATGGATTAAAATAGCATTTGTAATCTTTTTATCATCTCCTATAGATAAAAGAGAATCATAAATTGCAGCTTTGCTTCGCAAAGCAGAAGCCGAAGGTTTAGTGATCTCTGGAAGATCAAAAAGTTTAGAGATATTATCGAAAAATATCAAACATTCATTGTCGTAAACCTTCTTTAAACTAGCTAAAGCTTTGGGATAATTTTCTTCAGAAATCTGAAAAGCTTTTACTGTTCCTAAAGCTTCTTCGGACAAGCATGATTTTAAATGGTTAAATTTTTCTATGTCTGTCAACATCGGATCATTGTGGACCAAGTTCTCAAATAGGCTCATAAAGTTTTTATAATCGGAATATTTTCCGCTGAATTTAGGGAGCTTCATATTTGGTAATCTCGACTGGTGTGACTGTACACTAAACGATGTTTCAGGCACACTCGATTTTCTAGTTTTAGCCAAGATACTTAAAAACAATGATTTTGTTGTTACACAAATATCCTCAAGCTCAGCTCTGTCATCATTATTGGGATCTAAATTATCAACCTCAGACTGAAGCTTCATTGCTTGGTCTATATAACTTGTCAATATGTCCAATCTACATTCTAGCTCAATAGGATTAAAAGAAATAGTCTTTTCCCTAATAGATTGACGGATTCTCTCTATATTTTGTACAACCTTTGCTTTCTTTTCTAATGCTTTTGTCAAAGCTTCCGATTTGGAAGGTGAATCTTGGCGTTTTTTACCAACCATTATAAAAATAAATATTTAATTTAATTCCTCAAAGCAGAAAAACTATAAAAAATTATCAAAATAATTTATTGACAAATCAAAATTTTCCAAAAAGAATTTAAATTCTTGCTTTGGATCTCAGAATTGTATAACAAAAATATTTATTTTCGAATTTCCTCGCATTCCTGCTGCTCTTCAGAATATATTTTTGTCGATTCTTTCGGAATTTCTTCTAATTCCCAGAATTTTTTAACGATAGAATCTATATTGCTCTCGTTTTCAATAGAAGAATTTATATGAAAAACTTTATTATTGGCGTTAGATCCCTTTGATTGATTATACTTTCCAGTAACAATCCAACCAAGAGAAGTCTTCTGTAAAATTGGAAGACTAGGACCAGATTTAATTTGTCCGACACAAATTAAGTCAAAGAATATCTCTGCGCCAATTAATAAGTCAATCCTTTGGGGTTTGTGAAAGCAAGGATCAGCTAATTCTATATTTTTAGGAATTTCTAAGCTAGTTGTACTAATTGAATGATCAGGCTGTAAATTAGTTATAGAACTCAATACCCAAAACTTTGAAGTAAATTGAGTAGAGTTAACAGAAGATGAGTAATTTACTGACGCGTTAGAAGTTGACTGCTGTTCAAAGTTGCTATTAGACGCACTGCAAATTCTACACTTAGGTGCTGAACATCTAGCTACTGTATGTCCTTTTTTCAAACAATTGATGCAAGCTGGCACAGATTTTATAAAATCAAATCTTTGAAGTACAGGCTCAGCTGCAAATGAAGGGCAATTAACAACTATATGCTGATTTGATTTGCAAAATAAGCATTTGTCAGTAGATTGTCTTGATTTCGTACAATTTAGTGATGTTTTATTATTTTTCTTTGTAGAATTGTCAGTTTTGTTCTTATTAAACCTCGGCCTTGAACTTGAAGATTCATCAGCAGCAATATGCTGATACCGTTTGTTCAAGGCGGCTTCACAGTCTGACCATAGTGGCAGCTTTTCGAAATCTAGCTGTTCTTCCCACTTAGATTTGGTCACTGGATCTACTTTTGACATCACTAAATGGATTAAAATAGCATTTGTAATCTTTTTATCATCTCCTATAGATAAAAGAGAATCATAAATTGCAGCTTTGCTTCGCAAAGCAGAAGCCGAAGGTTTAGTGATCTCTGGAAGATCAAAAAGTTTAGAGATATTATCGAAAAATATCAAACATTCATTGTCGTAAACCTTCTTTAAACTAGCTAAAGCTTTGGGATAATTTTCTTCAGAAATCTGAAAAGCTTTTACTGTTCCTAAAGCTTCTTCGGACAAGCATGATATTAAATGGTTAAATTTTTCTATGTCTGTCAACATCGGATCATTGTGGACCAAGTTCTCAAATAGGCTCATAAAGTTTTTATAATCGGAATATTTTCCGCTGAATTTAGGGAGCTTCATATTTGGTAATCTCGACTGGTGTGACTGTACACTAAACGATGTTTCAGGCACACTCGATTTTCTAGTTTTAGCCAAGATACTTAAAAACAATGATTTTGTTGTTACACAAATATCCTCAAGCTCAGCTCTGTCATCATTATTGGGATCTAAATTATCAACCTCAGACTGAAGCTTCATTGCTTGGTCTATATAACTTGTCAATATGTCCAATCTACATTCTAGCTCAATAGGATTAAAAGAAATAGTCTTTTCCCTAATAGATTGACGGATTCTCTCTATATTTTGTACAACCTTTGCTTTCTTTTCTAATGCTTTTGTCAAAGCTTCCGATTTGGAAGGTGAATCTTGGCGTTTTTTACCAACCATTATAAAAATAAATATTTAATTTAATTCCTCAAAGCAGAAAAACTATAAAAAATTATCAAAATAATTTATTGACAAATCAAAATTTTCCAAAAAGAATTTAAATTCTTGCTTTGGATCTCAGAATTGTATAACAAAAATATTTATTTTCGAATTTAAATGAAATCTCTCGCCGGTTACACAATATTCGGACTATTTCTTCTCGAATTATTCTTTTATTCGCAATTTTGTACCGATCACTTTATTCCAAATTAAAATTAATTTATTTAATTTTCCGTAATACCACTTTTTTCAGCCTTTGGTAAAAATAAATAATAAATTTATTTTCTTTTACCAAGAAAAATCGTTATTAAGTTAAGTTAAATTTCACAAAATATTGTTTTTACTAATAACTAGTTGTTTGAACACACTAATCAATATTAATATTATAATAATATTCAATAAAAATTTTCGAAGCTAGTGTGAACAAACAAACAAGTTGATATTTTTAATTTGTATGAAATTTAACTTTTCGATGCTAGTGTAAACGCACTACACTGTTACAGCTGATGTAAACAATTCAATGTGAGTGGTATAGGAACGCGTGGAATTGATATATGATCTTAACAAATTGATCAACAAATGAAAGAATAAAAGAAAACAAGAAGTAAATAAATAAAAAGTGAAAATTGTCTAAATAAAAACGACCGTAAGGTTTTAAGTTTACTTCGCAAGTAAGTATTTATTTTTGCTTTTTATGTAAAAATAAAAAGCCTACTTTTCTCTATATACATTGTTTTCAGCAAACCCGTTACAGTTAACATGTAAGCTGTAAGGGTTTACTACATAACTTAAAACTAAGGTAAGTAAGTAAAGATAAGTAAGTAAAGGTAAGTAAGTAAAGGTAAGTAAGTAAAGGTAAGTATTATTAAATTCATTTATTATATTATTATTGTTATTATTATTAAATTCAATTCATTATTATAATTAAAATGAGAAAAAGGGTAACAAAAATAAATATTAAAAAAAACCCATTGTGGCCCAACAATATGTTTGCAGTACAACCAGTGTTGCCACAACAAAATTTTTTTCTAACCAACATTCGAATAAAAAATAACCAAATTTAGAAAAAAGTAAACAAAATTATTTTTATTTGTTTCATTTGGACATTAAAATAACAAATTCATTTTCTGAAGTCGAACTATATTAAATTTCGTCGCTAAACTGGTATTATGAAGACAGTTATGAGCATTAATGTAATTTTCTGTACGGGATCTTATATGAGACGTATGGTCAATTATGGACCAATTCTCATAAAATCTGACAGAGATATTTTAGATCCTTTAAAACTTGATTATGTTGAATTTTGTTGCTATATTGCAAAACAACAGAGTTTTTACCGCGTTTTAGCGCAATTCAAAAATACTCTACATATGACTTTTTGGAAAACAATTTTAAATTATAAAATTCTTCCCATTTTATGTACAGATTTGGAGATTTCGTTCGAAATTTGGATTTAAATTATAATACCTTGTAGCGGATATTAGCATTACATTCATAACTTCAGCAATATTTGTATCCAAATTATCCGACAAACTGACCAAAATTTAGAATTCAAGACGGTAAAATAAAAACTAGTATACAACATCATCTAGAAAATGTAAATAAAGAACTAAAACTCATGGTGACATAGTAGAAGTCAAAGGTCATGAGTATCAAATCTTTGCATATATCGCGATTATTGTTCGTCATACGAGTTTAGATGTTATTGCAACTTTTGTATACAATACAATTTCATTTTCCTTAGCTGTGTTACTTAAAAATATCAGTTGATTAATACTTTAAAGATATTGTGATACTATTCTTGCATCAATTAGCAGAAAATACCTTATTAATTCTTATTAAATCATTTATCTTAGAATTTCGGCAAATTGGCACAGTATCTGTTTATGCAAAATTTCAAATAGGTATAGAAGTTGCAATTATACTTCAAATTTTAAATTTAATTTGGAGGACATAATCTACTAAGTACGTAGACTATTCCCACCAAATTCCATAAAAATCGAAATGCGAAATACAGCCTACTTCGTTTTTTCATATAAGTATCGCGAGTACTTTACATAAAAAGTTTCAAAAGAAATATTAAAGGAAGGACGGACGAGTTTGAATCGACCCAAAAAGTGATTTTAAGTTCATGGATGCACCAAAAGGAGAGAGAGGATTAATTATTCACGGTGTTAGATTGACTAGTTTAAATAAAATAATATTACGGTGTTGTTATGATTTAAATCAACTCATTTAATATGTGGAAAGCTCATAGGTACTTTTGCTAAATCCTAACCAATTAAGATATCGAAAAATACCCTTGTAGTAAAAAAAAAAATTCCATATATTACCAAAATTCAAAACAGGACGATATGTATATTTACATAGTTGATTTAAAACTGGACATAAAAGAAGTTTTTTCTTAATTTTATTTTTAGAATAAAAGCAAACTGCATTTAGTTCAATTGTTTGCAAAAAGTAACCAAAACGAAAAAATAATTCACAGTACACATGCAAAATAAAAATAACCAATTTTGGTTAATAATAACCAAAGTGGCAACACTGAGTACAACTGAAAATTATGAGAATAACATATAATAAACGAATTTATTTAGGCTTTGCAGTGCTGGAACTCTCAAATTAGAAAATGTATGATATGATACTAAAATTCCAAAAAAATTAGCTTTGAATTATATGGACACGGACTCTTTTATTTATACAATAAAGACGGAGGATTTTTATAATGATATCCGTGAAGATATTTTAATAAGGTTTGATACATCTGAGTATCAACAGAATAATAAGTTTAACCTCCCATTAGTAAACAAAAAAGTTCTTGGAATGATGAAGGACGTAAATAATGGAAAAATTATGAAGGAGTTTGTGGGACTTCGATCAAAAATGTATTCATTCAAAACAGAACAAATGGATGAAGTAAAAAAATCAAAAGGCGTTAAAAAATCATGTATAAAAAAACTTTCAATTATCGATTATAAAAAATCATTATTTGAAAAGAAGATTATTTCTGATTCAATGTTTACATTTGGATCGAAGTTTCATCAATTGTATACACAAAAATTGAATAAAGTAGTTTTGAGTTATGCGGATGACAAACGATTTGTTGCTTCAAATCAAATAAATACATATGCGCGTGGACATTATAAACTTCAGTATAAT